TATATAATCCTATACATATATATGTATATATACATACACATATTCCGTGGCAAAATGCACACGTACGTACAATTGTTGAACGTACACATCTCCTCAAAAACATCCCGTAAATGTATACAGACTTGTAAACGCACCTAGAGACATCCACATACCCATACACATAAACTATTTTGTGTATATTATCATAGGTATACGTCTACGTATATGGATATGCATATACACAAAGTCACAGCACCAACCTATACCTACACTTACACGCACACCACACCCACCTTTGGGTCTGGGTCCACTCCATTGCGTTGTAGTGCAACCGTGCCCAATAGATCAGCCACCAGTCTATAGTACTTGGTGCGTAGTGTGTTGTCGTCCCTTACTAACATGAGATACTGCAGAATCACCACCAGATGCTGTTCACTGTCTGTCCCCTTCGTTCCTATATGAAGTATGTGGAGTGGGTCGCAGAGGTCAGTGTAGGTTGAAGTTGGATTTGAAGTGTGGTATGTGGCTGGTACAGGTCTGTATCGCTGCATACTGTGGATAGTGTACACGTGGTTGATTTTACGTATTGTTCGTATATATATATGTATGTATATCTTCATATATGAATGTATATACAGCAGTATACGTACGTGTATATGTATATGTATATGTATATGTATTTGTTATGTATATGTATATGTATATATATGTATATGTTGTGTATATGTATATATATATATATACGTGTAAGTAGACATATGTAAATATAGAAAACGAGCTGTAGCTCAACATAGTACATACAATATTGATATACAATACATCAGAATACACCCACAACTAAAACATACAACATCCTAAAGATACCCTCACCACACATACCTTCAAACAAAACCTCAAACATCTCATTGGGGTTGCCTAGATTGACGGCCGGCCGATCGAATCTGTGAACACAAGCCAAGAGTATTGGATTCAGTCAGACCCAATTCTTATATCAGTCTTCTTATAGCATATTGCTAATTTTCGCTGGTAGATTTTAAGATATTTCCATAGCCCAGTCCGGAAATTTCGGGTTCAGGGTCAGGATGAACAGCAATTATGAGTGCTCGACTCTGTATGTCGAGCAGAGCGCGAGATAAGAATTACATATACAATACACATACATACATAAATGGTCTATATAATATTAATTAGTTTCAAATTAATACACATACAACATAAATGGTCTTTATAAAATTAATTAGTTTCAAATTAATACACATACAACCATCTGACCCAGAAGGACTCATCAGTGCCCCCCCAGACCTATAAGGTATACTAAGTGATAGTTGTAACCTCCCCCAGCCTATAAGGCATACTAAGTGATAGTTGTAACCTAATACACACATATGATCCAACCCACTAGTTGCCTGCCCCTGAGAATTAATTCAGAACTGCCGGGTCTGTATAACAAATCAGTTTCACACTAATACACATTTAAACCATCTGACCCAGAACGACTCACCGGTAGCCCAAGTCAATACTGTCCTGGTCTGTGCTGTCCAAATAGTACGCTATTTGGGTCTTCAGGGGAACGTTGTCCACAAACTGGTTGTGAAAAAAACCAAAAGTATATCATTTTAGCTACTGAATTTATTATTGTTTTTTGATAGAGCTTAACATATGTTGTGTGCGCTGGTGGGGTGTAGCATAGATGGTAGGTACTTAGGGTTTAGTGTTTAGGGTTTGGGGCTAGAGGGTCAAACCCTACAAACCTAAAGACTATTTGTACGATAAGGGTTTACATATGCTGTGGTAGCGGTTAGCGTGTGGGGGCATGTGTTGGTAGTAGCGTGGTCGAGCCAAGCGGGTTTCGAAAGGCGCATTTAAAGGCCCATATTTGTATAATATATCCCATGGTATATCGGTGACTGTGTGCAAACAGGCGAACGTTGTACGAGATAGGAAGGATGGGACGTATATGACACACACACGAGCATAGAAACATACACATAAACAAACACACACACACAGAGATGCACACACACTTACACACGTGCACATATGCACACACATACACACGTGCACATGTCCACACACATACACACGTGTACATATGCACACACATACAAACGTGCACATATGCACACATATATACACTGTGCACATATGCACACATATATACACTGTGCACATATGCACATACATACACACCTGCTTTAGATCCGTCAAGAGTACGTCTAAGCCATGGTTAGTGAATTCGCATCTTAAACAGATACGTGTCTCCAAATGATCAACGTCTCTGAGCAGCGCATTGATGAACTGCATTACAGCCGTAATATACGACAGATGCAGCGCCCCTGGGTGAAGATAAGTAGGTGAGTGTATGGGAAACAGTGCCACTATAACAATATATAACAATACATATAACAATATATAACAATATATATAATAATATATATAACAGTATATACAACAATATATAACAATATATAACAATATATATATGAGACGTGTGCAGAATTTCAAAAAAAATTCGTGTACACAGCATCCT